AGTTGAACTTTCAACGTAATAATAATATCCATTTGTATAGTTAAAATGTTTTATTTGTGCGTGGGTCAATATTTCAGAGTCACTTTAACAACGTAGACGTCACTTGTTTACTTCATAAAAGTTGTATGTGACCTTTTAATTTCATTTGATATATTGGGCACCACAAAGGCGCGTACTTTATCCTATTTTTATATACTTATTAACAACAAAATGTTGAATTGAATTACACAGCTAGAGTCCAGTTCACACTCGTTCCCCTAGGCGCGCTCGTGGCGTCCACGTTTTCAATTGCGTTGCGAACTTACCTGAACTATTGAAATTACGTACAACTCTAATTCTAACGCTGGTCAGTTGTGCGATTTTCACATCGTCAATTGAACGCCACCTTAAACTTAAGTGCAAAAAAATTGTTTTTAACTAGAACACAGCGTTTGTTCTTTAACTTCCAGTAGTACGAAAACACGATCAAAGCTTGGAAGTTTTAATGTGGATTGTTAACACGTACTAGATACACAGAAATTATGACAAAGTTTTAAAATGTTTCAAAACTTATTATTAATTAATTTTTTGCTTTTAGATTTTATGGAGAGCATGTAAGCATTTAATTTAATTACAATTTAATTAGCAAGAGTTGACAAATTTGTTTTTCTGAACAGTGTGGTGGTCATGGACTAATTTTAACTCGCTTATCAACAAATAAATAAATAATCTACGCTATTACACAAGCATAATCTGTCATTTTTATATTATTGTAATTTTTTTACCACAGTTGTAAATAAAACCAAATTTGTTTGATCAACCCCACCAACAATTTGATGACGTCACCTCAAAATTCTGCGTGGTAAAAGCTATTTAAATTTTAGAAAATAACATACTCCTGTACTTGTGGTTTATGAATCCACCTTGATTTTTGTTGTTTGATCCTTGAAGCTGTTCTTTAGATACGTAATATGAATCAATGTGAAACGTATATCCTGGGCTTTACAGAGCCATAACCCACGTTCTACCACTGCAGAGCGCTCGCTTTGTATACAAACTTTTTATCGATCACCCTATTTCTATTGCGGTTTAAACAATTCTAAAATATGCATACATTATTAAATATTAAATACTAAGTACTGAATAAAGGAGCATACTACAATTTTAAACGAGATTTGCTTAACAAAATTTCCAAGGTTTTGTTGTTTATACCTTTGCAAAACCCAAAGCAATCACAAATTGGTTGTAAAAATTGATTGTACAAATTTTAATTTTTTTTATAAAATCGTCAACAGACTACAGAAACCTGGAAATGGAAGACCTACTTTTGAAAATTCTAGGAACGGCCTGTTCGAATTGCGGTGCATGTTTAATCCGCAACCGAACTGCGGTGCAAAATTTTGTAATTTCCTGATACCTTAAAAGTCTTGACCGAACTGTGGTAAAATTCTTAGTTAGGGGTTAATTGTATCAATGGTAAATGTTATTATTACTAACGTAGTTCTGAAAGATAGAATTTCTGAAATCGTTTAATAAATCAAATTTGTAGCTAACCCAAATCACAAAATTATATCCGAAAATTTCATTACTTTTACATTTTAGATTCTAAACATCTATCTGCGAACCAGATCTTTTTCAATATATCGTTTTTCGTTTTTATGTAAAAAACTCACTTTATTCTTTGAGTCTAAAAAGTATTTGGTTTTGGTTTCTACTCTTCTTCGAATTTATTCAGTTGCTTTAAGAACAACGCCAAAACCCCCTGAACCCCTACAGTTTGAGAACGAACCGCAATTCGGTTGGAAATATCCATGTACCTGATACTTGAGCAAAATTTGCACCCCAGTTCGGAAACGACCTCTAGGAACTATGAAACGTCGAGAAAATTGAAATTAGACGAATGTCTAACAATTTTCATAATTATGTTATTTTGCTTTTTCTTTACAAGCGTAATCTAAGGAAGTTTTGTGGCAGATTCCATCTAGTGAATGGCTACTTTTATGTTTTCTCGACACTTGATGACCCCTAAAGTACGAAAAAATAGATCCCCGTTTCCGTCTGTCTGCTGCCATCTGCCGTTTGTGTCAACCGATTGTTGTCAAAATTTTCATATGTGTTGGAAATATCCTGTAGATGGTAAAACGCGCATCAAACTTTATACCGGGTGTCTGGAAAATGGCGGATTAACTCTTCAGTACGTTATGTAGGGGGGTTTCGGGAGTCCCAAAAAATAATTAAAAAATTCTTTATGATGTAGATTACGAAAAAAACGTAATTTTATAAAAGTAAAATTGGCAACAATGCACGCACTGAATACCTCCAGCGTACTTTCTGATTTCTTAGTAACAATGGTGACTGAAATCCACCTTTTATTTTTTTTAAGGATAATATCCATAAAAAATATAGTCGTCATTAGTCCTTATGCATTATTATTAATAAAACAAGCTGTTATTTTTCATCTTTAATTTTTTTAGTAGCTCTAAAATAAGACCGATTTTGACAAATAACCTACTCTCTAAGAAAAGAGAGGGTGGGTGGGCGAGGCTAGTACTTCCTTAAACAAGACTAATTTTGGCAAATGAAATACCTATTAAGAAAAGAGAGGGTGGGTGGGCGGGGCTAGTACCTGCTGAAATAAGACTGATTTTGGCAAATGAAATACCTATTAAGAAAAGAGCGGGTGGGTGGGCGGGGATAGTACTTGCTAAGGTAAGACTGATTTTGGCAAATGAAATACCCTCTAAGAAAAGAGAGGGCAGGTGGGCGGGGCTACTAGCTGCTAAAGAAGACCTGTTAAGTCTGATTTTGGCAAATGACACATTCTTTAAGAAAATAGAGAGCGGACGGTTGAAGCTAGTACCTGCTAAGATAAGACTGATTTTAGCAAATAACGAATCTTCTATGAAATTTAATTAAAATGTTATAAACAAAGACACTAGAGGATCCAAAGCATTTTCAAATTCTTTCCAAACAGGAATAGCTAGAATCTCAAGATTGTTTTAAATTAAAAAAAAAAAAATGGGGTCCCAAAATTAACTCAAAAACGGGTCAACAGAACCATATCTGTGTACATTCTAACTGAAATGGTCAGAGAAATATTAACTAAAACTTTTATTACTAGTTATTGTGATAATAAATCTGTTGTTCAGTTATTAAACGTAGCAAAAGAACCAATTTTAAAATGATTAAAACTCCACCAAAATGTGAGGATTTTTTTTACTATTTTCCCATTCTCACCAGTTGATTGTTAAGAGCGTAGCGGAGAGTTAATCCACCATTTTCGAGACACTCGGTATAATCATCCCCACCAACAATGTGATGACATCACCTTAAAATTATGCACAAAAAATGTTATTTAGATTTTAGAAAATAACATACTCCCACACTTGTGGTTTATGAATCCGTCTTGATTTTTTTACTCTATACGCCTAGATTTAAGGTTACCGAGCACGGTAAAATCGTCAATACATATCATATATCTAATTAGATATATGATAAATATTTATCAATTTATCTCCCCTCCCTCCCTCTAAAATATATAAATCTGTTGGTCACACTTTTAGTAAACAAATGTAACAGTATTTTTTTAATTTTGGCAAGGTGTTGTAAAACTGTACCAATTACGGCAACTGCTATGTTTCGATTACTGTCTTCGTCATACACACTGTGTTTGCGCAGGTAAAGAATCTCTGCGCTTCTTAGCATTTTAGGGGCGGAACCGATATCTGCTTAAATACAGTATGTAGGACCAAAACAGAAACAAAAACATACTGTTTTACAACACCTTGCCAACATTTAAACAATGTTTCATCTAGTATTTCCAGTATCTGTAGATTTGACAGTTGAAAAGTTAAGAGAATAGGTTATGTTTTATTGGAAGTGGCTGGAATTCTTATTTTAATTTCGATAATAAATTTAATATGGAGTTAGGTTTCTAAATCATGAAATTTGTTGGAGCTCAGTTTAAAGACCATGAGACGGATTCCGAATAAAATTTATTAATCGAGCGGTGCCAACATAAGGACCCCATAGAGGGTATAGTAAGAACTGAACTGAGTTATTTGGACCTATTTTATATAGCAACATCTATGAACATCTTGAAATTATGCCAAAAATTAGAAGCACAGGTTAATAAAAAATGATGTGCCTTTTCTAACTTAGATGAATATACTATTTGGGAAAATTTTACTGTAAATATACTAGTTATTTTGAATTTTTGTCATGTCAAAACATTATATAGATGTTGTTAATCGATATGATTAATGGGCAGAATAAAAAAATACATATAAATCAATAATTTTAATGAAAAAAAAAATATATATTATGTAGAGACCATTATGTATTTAGTATTTAAGGGTACTTCGCTGCATCTACTTATTTGACTAACTAGATAAGCAACGGATGATCAAGAGAATAACAATGGACCCAACAGTGATCTATGAGGCGCTTCAATACAGTTTTTAGTCTGGAATATATATTGTATTGCCCATATAAGCACAGTTGAAAATTGTTATGACATATTTGGTAGATCAAATAGTTCTCAGCATTCATCTTAGTTGACCTAATAATATGTTTTTTACTATTAAGTACATTAGTAAATTTTATATAAACCCATGAGTTATGTCTTAGTTTTCTCAGTAGTGTGCGTTCCTTTTATCGGCGAGGACTTTGATTAGTTTATCGGAATCACGCAGTGCATTATTTATTGACATGCTAATCTATTTGTGGTCGTGACACCCGTCATATTAAGTTATTATCAAGCAACGTAGAAAAACATCGAGTGCGACACGTGCTAGGAAAAGAAATATTTGCAGCGAAAGTGGTGTCAAGCGCGCTCCTTTTATTTTGGACATTTGCGCTATTAAAATGATAAACACATCCTCTCAAGTTCCGTCACTTAAAATTTTAATTTTCGTCGAAATTACACGCACAGGTTCCAATTTCCACCCGCTCCCCTACGCACGCACCGACTTTCCTCTCCGCTGTTTGCGTTCACGTTTTCAATTTGGCAGCGAACTCACCTGAACTAGTAGCGGCACAGAATAAACATAGGTTAAAAATCCGTCCGGCCATCATTTGGTGGAGAAATAAAATAGCTACAGCCCCGATTCCATCACTCGTCACTTTCACATCGTCCACTGGCCACCACGTCAAAGTTAAGTTTCCAAAGTGCGAAAAAAAATTTTTTTTTAAGCCAGAACAGAGCGTTTGTGCGTAAACTTCCGGAAAGTGTTTTTACATTGTACCGGAAAGAGGTTCCGAGAGAGCGCGGTCAGTAGCGGAAGAGCACAAGGGACATTGTAAAGCGCGTAAGGATCCTGGAGTAGTGCGGGAATCCTGCGAACTGACTGGAACGCCACCCTGGTACCGACGGAGACCCCCCGAAGTTGCGTGGCACAGGCGCGCCGCCCTCAATCCATACCACGCTTCTCCGCGAACATCTCCCAAAGAAATGTTCAACTTCTAATTTGTACGTGCCATTTCATAATTTATCCATCGGCGGGGTGGTGATAGTTGCGGCATCAAGTGGAGGACGTCCCGGGAGAGCGGCGAGCTTTTCCGGTAATTGTCCGGATTTTCAAAAGCTCGTAATCCGCCGCCGTAGACCTCGATTGTACGGTTGATACTTTATTATCTCGGAAGATGTTTTTCGAGGGACAGAGGTTTACGTAAAAGGTACGATCGGAGGGTATGTGGGTGAATTAAATGCGTGGTGATGAGAGGTCGTTTCGGCGTCGAATGACGGCTTTAAATAATTGCTGCCATAGGAAAGAGGAAGTTTTACAAGAATCTGACAACTAATTTAAACAGGGGCTTTGTATTTTTGTACCTAATTCGGACGGAGAGACTGAACTTTTATCTGAAGAATTTAATTTTAATGGGGCTTTATAAAGTGGACTGTTTATGAGTTTTGTTTGTGCTTCTATATTCGATTTGTACGTGAAAGTGCCTAATTTAAAATTACTATACGTCCGGGTTGTTTACCATAATAACTAAAGCACGACGCATGAACCTGTGTTTTATTCGAAATTCGTTTAATTTAGAGGTGATTTTATGTTTCTCTTGACGTTTCATATTTACCAGAGGAAGAAAAAGTAGGTCCCGTTTTCGTGTGTCTGTCGAATATTGAATAGTTGCGAAAATTTAGGTAAATTTTAGGAAACTTTTGTTAATAGTAAAATGCGAACCAACCTTTATCTTTTTATCGTCACTAAGAATGTGATGACGTCGCCTGAAAATTTTACCAAATTAAACTTACCTAATTTAAAAAAAAAATGTCTCTGTTTATTAATTTGTTTTTATTTTTAACTTGGGCGTTTAGATTTAAAACAAAAATCAAACATTTAAGAGTTTAACTTAAGAACTATAAAACCGACTATTTTGAAATCGCAAACGTTTTAAAGTCATTGCAAACTTGGTAAATTTTTAATTAAAAATGTTTTTGTTTATCCTTTTTAAAAACTTGATGGCTCCAGTTTACGTCTGTTTCTCTGTCTGTTCGTCTGTCTGTCTCTGTCAATTTTTATGAGACACCTAATCTCCGAAACTACTGGAATGATTGTTGTCAAATTTTTGTAGAAACAGATAATTAGATGGTCAAATGCTAACTTAAAATTGGCTAATCATCCCTACCAACAATTTAATGACATCATCTTAAGGAATTATAAATTCTATTTTAAAATAATTAGGGTATACGAATGAATTTACTTTGAGTTTTGTCTGTAAACGTCTGAATTTTCGTCAAAAAACTGAGGATATAGAAGTTCGTGAGATTGGCTAAGGTATCAGTATGCAGATCGGCGGTCGCATGTTCGATGCTAAACTTGGTCGGTTTTTTTTTTTTATTATGACTAGTATTTTCTGTGTTAATGAAGTTTTAGTCCTCTGTTTTGAGGAGAAAAACTCATTCAAATCAAACGAATTTCGATGTATAAACATTCCACTTGAACTTAATTAAGCTTATTATTAGTGCTGAGAGCACATTTTTTCCCGTTGGTTATCTGCTTTAAATATATTTTACATTGCCGGTAATTGGGACCGTAAATTTTTGGTCCCGGGGCTGCGGTATATTTTTACTTTATAGAGGTCATCACAAAAACGAAAATCGCAAAATCAAATTTTATAATTTTTTAAAGAAATTTGTCGGATTATTAAATCCCGACCAGTTTTTTTAGGAGCGTGGAATAATCCTAGTTTTCTCTTTTAAAAAGAATTTGAGACAATCTTGGTCTTTTTTAGACATAATTTCAAGGAACCTTTGGGATCTCTTATATTTTATTTTTGAAAATTTTGTTAAAATTTCTGGTGATTTATTTTAGAAAGACCTTCAAAGAATTTTGAAGGCTATTAGTCTTTTTTTTATATTAACCTATAGAAGGTGTCATAACAAAAAAAAATGGTCTAAGGTTGTCCTTCTAAACAATTAGACAGAACTTCCCTCGATCCTGAAGAATAGCAATATTCTGTATTCTGAAAATTCCGTTTCGAGTTAAAATATGAATGCATTGTTAAACCATGAACACAGACTCATAACATTTTGCACATAGTGACAGGATTTATTCGTCAACATTTAGACTTATCAATTTGGGATAATAAACGCATAATTTTGATTAACGATTGACCACGTTTAATAACAGCCTTAAAACGTTTGCAAGATTTGCAGTTTTAAATTTACTTTGTAAGATGTTGTTATATAATTGTGATTTTTTTTCCAAAAATCTAGACGGCTATTATCTGTCTTATTAGAAATTATATTAAATCAACATAGACGGAAATGGGCGACCTATTGTGGTGTCGTATTCTAGGAGTCATGAAACGTCCAGAAAACATGAAATTAACCATTCGTCGGATGGACACTGTTACAATACTTCCTTAGCTTACGCTCAGCATTAGTTTAGAAATATTTGAACATAGAGAAGTAACTGGAGGTGTTTTCTATTTGATCGCTCTTTAATTGTCGTTGATTCTTAATTGTATTTGACGCTCTTCGTTGAAAAAGTAAACTGTTTTATAAATTCCGTCCTTGGCCTTAACGTTCGAAACTTCCTTTTCTCCTCTATGTAACCCTTGGACTACTCAACCCTGTAATTGTCATCTCTCTGTGCCAGTTCTTTATAATTTAGGCGTGAGCTCGTTAATTCTATATAATCAAACCTTATAGTGTACATCAAGAACAAAAAAGAAGCCTCCTATTTCCCTTTTTGTTTTATTAAAGAAATATGAGACGAAAGTTATTCATTTACAAAAGACAAAACGACAAAACAAGCAAACAAATATTTACTTCCTTATTACCATCGCACAAACGGAGTTTCGTCCCTTTGGAGTTCAGCCTGTTTTTCATTTATACCTACACCACCAACATTTGTCAACAAATCTTCTCCTCCTTTGTCTTTTTTTATTAAACCGAAATCTTTTCGCTCAAATTCAAAGCATACGCATCCAATTTGCGGCAAATTTGTCGGAATCCATCCGGCCGTTTCCACCAAAAAACATATTTTTGTGCAAATGGCTCGTTACAAATACATAAACAATCCTAGCCCCACCGAAAACGGCCTAGTCCATAAAAGCAAATGGCTTTTCGATTACTCGAAATGATTTACATGGCGAGCGCACGTAACTTAACATTCGCCGTAACTTATTGTCCGTTAAATCTTTTTCTTTCGAAAAGCAACCGAGTCGTTCGCAAATTTATCGACTGCCTATGAGGTCTTCGCATCGCCATCGGGTAAACGTAAGTTTGTGGACGCCTAAGGAGAGTGGTGTGATTAATTAACGCAGAGCGTGCACGCAATCGGAACTAATTTAATTTGATCAGATTAATGCTGGTTCGTATTACTGGCGGCAGCTTATTGTTCTGGATGGACAATGAATTAGCGAGTCCCCTAATATTTTTCGGGATGATTTTTATCATGCGACGACAGGGGTGTAAGGAGATACATATAATAAACACGACGTATTAAAGTTTTTATGTTTTATTGGGACAATTATTGCGGGGAATTTAATGTAATGCCCCATTAAGCATTATATTATAACAACGTTAAATTTTATTCGGGCTGAGGCCCGACCTTTCGCTGCCAGGATTCTCGAGGAGGGATCTTGAATTTGTTTACCACCGGAGCCAGATACGTTCCATTTATTCTTATTATCTTAGACATTTTATTTTCAGAAATATTACTACTTAATTAAAACTAATAAAAACTGCTTAATTTGTAAGGAACGACAATCACGTTTACGACAATCCGCAAACACTGAAGAAGTACAAAAATTTCATTGACATATTAATTTTATCCTTGATATATAATTTTTACTTATAGTTTCCTTAGTTCTAATTCGATTTTACGATGTGTAAAAGTTAACTTCCTTAACAATAGATTACTATTGCCAGTGATGGGACAGTCATAAATAAGCATTTAACCATTATACAGAATACATGGTTAAATCCTTATTTATGACTGTCCCATTACCGGCAGTTACTAATTAACAACAGATTACTATCTATTGTTAAGCAAGTTAACTTTTCCACAATGGGGTACTACCATAAAACCGAATTAGAACTGGAGAAACTATACTTCTACTTTTCACTTAATTCTAAATGTTTTTTATTAACTTTTCACAGCTAAAACGATGCAATTGAGTTGTCGTGGATTCTTCTTCAAGTACTTCTTTCACTTTTTTCTATCTTTTGTGCTTTCAGATGAATTTCGTTTTATTCTATACTTGTTTGTTTTGCTGCTCCCGCTTTTCCCTCATTTCGACTCTGAGGCATCCGATGACAGTTCGATAAGGTATGCGAAAAGTTATTCATTTGAACAAATTTAATAAATTTTGGCCCTAAGAAGGGCCGATGATGAACCAGATATCGGTGAACTGGCCAGTCACGCTGTAAAAATGGAAGAAGAACAAACAAAAGGAATACGAGTGAAACACCAGATAAACACACACATAAGGAATACTCAAAAAAAGAATAGAAAATAAACACTAGAGGAACACAACAGGATAACACACATAGAGCAGAAGAATACAAGCGCAACACACGCAAGAAGAACATACACAAAACAACACAAAAGGAGTACATATAAGAGTGCCGCAGATGTAAAACAAAAAGGAATACAAGAGAAACGGATCATAAGACTAACACGAAAAAGAACACACGAGTAAAACACACTAGCGAAATACAACGTGTGTTCTTATGTAAGACGAACAGAACCAAAAAAAGCACACAAAGACGGAACAAAGAATATTAGATGACAAAACGGGCACACAAACAAAAGGAACAGAAGAGTTCCACGTAAGAGGAGTAAAGAACATATAAGAAACATAAGAAGAACACCCATTCGTAAGACAAAAGAACATAAACAACAATAACAAACAAGAGGAATGCGTATAAGAAAAACATTAAGGAGAAAAGCGCAAACGACTCAAGCTACGACAAGCTGACC